CAGGTCTTTTGTGGTCCTACTCTACAGTATTTTAATTGGGGTCTCAGGCTGAAGAAACTGTCCTTATTTGGAATATTGCTGGTCTTGTGGGAAAAGGAAAAGAGAAAGTGGAGTGAACCACCCAATGGCTCTTGTTCAGTTTTATATTTAGAAGTGGCCCATGTTACTTTCACTGGCATTCTGTTGGCCGGAGCAATTATATAGCAAGCCTCAAGTCAGTGGAGTGGGGATGTATAATCCTTATGTGGAGAGAGGCAGCAGACGTTCTGAACAGTAATACAGTCTATCACAGGGTTTATTTTCCCTCTTATAGAACAAGTACAGAGGTTGGCAAACCAGCACTGGGATAGTAGCTCTGTAGTCATGAGAAATGAGAGCCCTATCTCTTGCCTGCTTGCTTGCTTGCCTGCATGACAGTTGCCTTCTGTCGCCTGAGCTGGAATGCAGTGGCACAGTCTCAGCTCACTGCAACTTTCACCTCCTGTGTTCTAGGGATTCTCATGCTTCAGCCACACAAGTAGCTGGAATTACAGGCGCATGCCACCACACCCACCTAATTTTTGTATTTTTAGTAGAGGCAGGTTTCACCATGTTGACTGGGCTGGTCTCAAACTCCTGGTCTCAAATAATCCTCCTGACTTGGCCTTCAAAGTGCTGGGATTACAGGTGTGACCCACCATTCCTGGCCTCTTTCTGCTCTGTCATCCTTAGCCTGTGGCTTCCATCCAAGGTGGCTGCTAGTGCCCCAGCCACCATTGCTGCCATTCCTTATAGGAGGAAAAGGGAAGGGAGGAAGAGCAAAAAGTGTTCAGGTCTAAACTGAATCAGCCTCTATAAGGCCTTCCCAGAAACCCCATTCAATGGCACTTTTTTTTTTTTTTTTTTTTTTTTTTGAGATGGAATCTCACTCTGTTACCCAAGCTGGAGTGCAGTAGTATGATTCCGGCTCACTGTAACCTCCGCCTTCCGGGTTCAAGCAGTTCTCCTGCCTCAGCCTCCCAAATAGCTGAGACTACAGGCGTGTGCCACCATACCCAACTAATTTTGGTATTTTTAGTAGAGACGGGTTTCACCATGTTGGCCAGGATGGTCTCAATCTTTTAACCTCGTGATCTGCCCGCCTTGGCCTCTCAAAGTGCTGGGATTACAGGTGTGAGCCACTATGCCCAGCTTCAGTGGCACCTTTTCATCATTGGTCACCCCAACTGCAAAAGAGGCTGGGAATTGTAGTCTTTTAGCTGGGCATTTAATCAGCCTGAAGAAATTTTGAGTTATGTTAGTAAGAAAGAAAAAAAGCACTTCTGGCAGTATTTGCCACTCCATGCTCTGGACAAGATGACCACCAAGACTAAAATAGTTTCTGCAAAGGGGAACATGGGGGTATAGCTCAGTGGTGGAGCATTTGACTGCATGCAAAGGGGAACACTTGCTGTCTGCTTAAGGTAGTTTTTTAGAAAGCAGTATTGCCCATTATAAATGCTGCTATCCAGAGGAACAAGAAAGAATAAGGCCAATTAAGGAGACGCTTCTTAGGATATTGACTTTCTTCCTTTGCCCTTTGAGCTGCTGAATCCTGTTGATCATCCCTTCCATTTAAGGCACCATCCCGGAGGTCCTACACAACACTAATGCATTCACTGACCAGAGGGCAGTCACATAGCCCCACCCAGCTGCAGAGAATCCTGGGAAATACAGTCTTTTAGCAGGACACAGTATGGCCTCAAAGAAAGTTGGAGTTTTTAGTAAGGAAAGTGCAGAAGGATAGATAAGAGTAGTCCAGTGGCAGACTCTGTCTGGGAGATGGTGGTGATGAAAATGGAGGAATGCTGTTGCAATAGATCTCATGTTTGTGTCCAGAAAGAATGGGGCTGCTGAAAACATTGGGATCTTAGAGGGAGGCTGACTGCAGCAGCCAGATTCCCTGGCTGTGTGCCCCGAGGTTTTGCTCTCTGGGTGCCACGGCTCTTCTCTGCGTCAGCCGTTCTGTGCGCTTTCACCAGCTGCCCGCCCCCTCCGCCTCCATCTGCCTTTGTCTGAGAAGTCTTGGCGCTCCCCATCTCCCTTCATCCCATTCGCCGCCTCCCCCACTGGTAGCCTCTTTAGTTGCTTTTGTGTCCTTCCTGTGTATATTAGTTTGTTCTCACACTGCTGTAAAGAACTACCTGAGACTGGGTAATTTATAAAGAAAGAGGTTTAATGGACTTACCATTCTGAATGGCTAGGGAGGCCTCAGAAAACTTACAATCATGGTGGAAGGTGAAGGGGAAGCAAACATTTTACATGGCGGCAGGAGAGAGACAGAGCAAGAGGGGAACTGCCACTTTTAAACCATCAGGTCTCAAGAACTCACTCGCTATCATGGAAACAGCATGGGGGAAACAGCCCCCATGATCCAGTCACTTGTCATCACGTCCCTCCCTTGACACATGGGGATTACAGTTCGAGATGAGATTTGGGTGGGGACACAGAGCCAAACCACATCACGATAGTTTTTTTATATAAATACCAGCAAATGTGAATAGACATTCTTATTTCTCCCTTTATTAGTTTCCCATGCTGCTCTAACAAACTTGGTGGCTTAAAACAAGACAAATTATTTCCTAACAGTTCTAGAAGCCAGAAGTCCAAATTGGTTTTCCTGGGCCAAAACCAAGGTGTCAGCAGGGCTGTACTCCTCTGGAGGTTCTGGGGGAGAATCTCTTCTTTGCCTGTTCTGGTTCCTGGTGGCTGCAGGCAGTCCTTGACTTGTGGCCACATCTCTCCAGTCTCTGGCTTCATGGTTGTATTTCCCTTGCTTCTTGTCTGTGGTAATATCTTCTACTCCTTCTTATAAGGATACTTGTAGTGGCATTTAGGGCCAGATGATCCAGGATAATCTCTCTATCCTTAACTTTGTCACATCTTTTGTTATATGAGGTAATATTCAGGCCAGGTGCAGTGGCTTATGCCTATAATCCCAGCATCTTGGGAGGCCGAGGTGTGAGGATTACTTGAGCCCAGGAGTTTGAGACCAGCCTGGGCAACAGGCAAAACCTCATCTCTACAAAAAATAAGAAAGTTAGTCAGGCATGTGGCACATGCCTATAGTCCCAGCTACTTGGGAGGCTGAGGTGGGAGGATTGCCTGAGCCTGGAGAGTTTGAGGCCACAGGGAGCCGAGATCACGCTACTGCACTCCAACCTGGGTGACAGAGCAAGACCCTGTCTCAAAATAAATAAATAAATAAGGTAAGAGACACAGTTTCCAGGGATTAGGACATGGATAGCTTTTGGGGGTCTACCACAATGACTAAAAGCTGAGATAGTCTATTTAGAACCTTGCTTTTTCTCACATAATATGTGCTTGACAAAAGCATGTCAGTTCACAGAGTGCCTCTACATTGTTTTTTTTTTTTTTGAGACAGAGTTGCATTCTTGTCGCCCAGACTGGAGTGTGATGGCATGATCTTGGCTCACTGCAGCCTCCACCCCCCGGGTTCAGGCGATTCTCCTGCCTCAGCCTCCTGAGTAGCTAGGATTACAAGTGCTGGCCACTACATCCGGCTAATTTTTGTATTTTTAGTTGAGATGGGGTTTCACCATGTTGGCCTGGCTGGTCTTGAACTCCCAACCTCAAGTGATCTGCCTGCCTCAGCCTCCCAAAGTGCTGGGGTTACAGGCATGAGCCACCGTGCCTGGCTTGTCATGCAGTATTTTAAAGTAAATTCCAAACATCAGATCTTTTAATTATTTCAGACTCATTTTCTAACAGAAGACTTTCAGAAGCATAAATCCAATATGGTTATCACATCTAGGAAAATGAAATCTTTTTTTTTTTTTTTTTTGAGACAGGGTCTGGCTCTTTCACCCAGGCTGGAATGTAGTGGCATGATCTCAGCCCACTGCAGCCTCTACCTCCCAGGCTCAGGTGACCCTCCCACCTCAGCCTCCTGAGTAGCTGGAACCACAGGCACGTGCCACCATACCTGGCTAATTTTTTTTTTTTTTTCGGTAGAGTCAGGGTCTCCCTATGTTGTCCAGGCTGGTCTTGAACTCCTGGGCTCAAGCAATACTCCCATCTTGTCGTCCGCCCAAAGTGCGGGGATTACAGGCATGAACCTCCATAACCACCAGTTTCTTACAATCATCTAATACCCAGTGCATGATCAGCTTTCCCCAATTGTCTTAAAATGTCTTTTTACTGAATTGTTTGTTGTAGGTGAGGTCCACATTCTGCCTTTTTGCTGATGTTTCTTAAATCTCTCTTAATCTAGAAACTGCACACCCCCTATATTATATGGTTGTAGAAGAAATGTTTTGTTTAGCTGTATGATCTCCCACATTGTAAATGTCTGATTTTATAAACTGCTCTAACAAGTTGATGTAGAAGAACAAATTGGGAGTGGAGGGGCGGGGTAGTGGGCAGGGAGACCAGGAAGGAGGCTGGAAAGGGGTAGTGGACAGGGCAGAGGTAAGCTGATGCTGGGTGTTTAAAAGGTGGAGCTTTTAAATTAATAATAATAATAAAGGCCAGGCATGGTGGCTTATGCCTGTAATCCCAGCACTTTGGGAGGCTGAGGTGGGTGAATCACCTGAGGTCAGGAGTTTGAGACCAGCCTGGCCAATGTGGTGAAACCCCATTTTTACTAAAAATACAAAAATTAGCCAGGTGTGGTGGTGTGCGCCTAAAATCCCAGCTACTTAGGAGGCTGAGATGGGAGAATCGCTTGAACCTGGGAGGCAGAGTTTGCAGTGAGCCAAGATTGAGCCACTGCACTCCAGGCTGACAGAGTGACTCCATCTCAAAAAATGATAATAATAATACTACTACTAAAAGATGGAGCTGAAGAAAGGGTTGTGGTTGTGAGTATGAGATGGAGAAAGCCTGGGCACAGGACAGGTCTACTTCCAGGCCCTAGCGAGGCACAGGCTTGAAGCCCAGAGACCTCCAGTGTGGGTATCCTCCAGGAGGGATGGGTCTGAACCTCATAGCACTGACCCAGCCCCCCGCCACCCATGCAGGTTTCCACTGAAGGACGGTCCCCGGCTGCAGGCCTGGCTGCAGCACATGGGCCGTGAGCACTGGGTGCCCAGCTGCCACCAGCACTTGTGCAGCGAGCACTTCACGCCCTCCTGCTTCCAGTGGCGCTGGGGTGTGCGCTACTTGCGGCCTGATGCGGTACCTTCAATCTTCTCCCGGGCACCACCTGCCAAGGTAAGCGCCAGGAGGTCTTACTGCTGGAATCCGACCCCCAGACCTCCCCTCCTAAGGGAAGTCCCTCCTTGAGTCTGACCTTCAGCCCTCCCCCCCCAACGACAGTTCCTGCCTGAGGTCAGGCCTTACCTGGGCAAGTCCCCCTTGGAGACCGACCCTCCAGCCCTTTCCTCCTGAGTCGAAGTCTGGCCATGGCACTCCTTCACCCCATGCCTTGTCTTCCAGAGTCAGCGGAGGACCCAACGCACCCAGAAGCCAGTCTTGCTGCCGCCTCCCCCACAGGAGAATATACCCCTGCCCCAGGGCCCTGCCATCCCAGTCTCTAGCCCAGTGCACCTAGTGGTGCTGGACCCCACATTGGTGAGCCCTGAGACTGCGGCCACCATGCTCCTGACCCCCCTGGCCCCTGCATCCATTCCTGAGGAGTCACGGCCTGAAGTCCCTGCCCAACAGGCCTGGACCGGGCTGGGCGCAGTGCTGGGAGCACTGCAGCGCCGGGTGCAGAGACTGCAGCGATGCCAAGAACGGCACCAGGCACAGCTGCAGGCCCTGGAACGGCTGGCACAGCAGCTGCATGGGGAGAGCCTGCTGGCACGGGCACGCCAGGGTCTGCAGCGCCTGGTGAGTGACACCCCAGCCTGGAAGCCCCATCCATGGGTGTTGGCCTGGCCCGCAGTGTGTTTTCATTTTGTCTAGGATCCCCTATTCAAAAATCAGAACATTCACCTGTGTTTCCAAATTTCTGACTTGGCCGGGCTCAGTGGCTCACACCTGTAATCCCAACACTTTGGGAGGCCAAGGCAGGAGGATTGCTGGAGGCCAGGAGTTCGAGACCAGCCGGGCAACATAGCAAGACACTGTCTCTACAGAAAATTAAAACAAATTTCTTGAAAAACAAAATCTGGCAATGCCAAGCAACTATTGGTTGGAGCTGAGTAATGATTGGTGCATTTATTAATGCTAAATACTTAATATTTGAGGAGCTCTTACTGTCTGCCAGACACAGAATTATAACATAGTGAGTTGAAAACTCACTATGATCCTTTGAGCTGGAGCTACAAGATTAATTTTCAAAATGCAGTGGGTCATGTGTGTAATCCTAACATTTTGGGAGGCCAAGGTGGGCAGATTGTTTGAGCCTAGGAGTTCAAGACCAGCCTGGACAACATGTTGAGACCCTGTCTCAGTAAAATACAGGAGGCAGAGGCAGATAGATCAGTTGAGCCCAGGATTTTGAGACCAGACTGGGCAACATGGTGGTAAAACCCCATCTCTACAAGAAATACAAAAAGTTAGCCAGGTGTTACACCTATAGTTCCAGCTATTCGAGAGGCTGAAGTGGGAGGATTGCTTGAGCCCAGAAGGTCAAGGTTGCAATGAGCTGTGATTGTGCTACTGCACTCCAGCCTGGGTGACACTGAGACCCTGGCTCAAAAGAAAAAGTCTGGTCTTTCCGGAAGGCTCTGCAGATGTAGCAGCTCTGGGTTTGTGTTCCCAGGTTATAGCAGTCGGCTGGAGCTACAGTGTGGCTGCCTCTGGGGGCTCGAAGTTTGAGACTGGCCTGGGACACAGAGGGACAGTGAGGCAGGGACAGAGCTCAGACTCGGGCCTGGGGCTCTTTGTGGAGCCTGCCAGAGCCCCCTGGGCTGACTGCCTCTCTCCGCCTCCCCTCCCCTCATTCAATCTCTGTCTCCTACTCATCTATCCCTACCTCTCAATCTCCTTCCTCCCCAACATTCATTGTCTTTCTTCCCATCATCTCTGTCCCCCACCTGTTTCCTCACCTCCCTATGTCTCTCTTCATCTGTGTATTTTCTCTCTCCCCCATATCTCTGACCCTGTCTCCACATCTGCCTGCCCCCACATCTCTCTTCCCCGCATGTGTCTGTCCCCCTACATTTCTCTTCCCATTTCCCCATCCTTCTTTCCTCTCCCATGAATGTCTCTCTGGCCCTCACACCTGCTTTCCTGTCTCCTCATATCTCTGCCCACATCTCTCTCTGTTTCTTGACACCACCCCCACCTTTACCTCCCTATTCTTCACCATATCTGTCTCTCCCCCAACTTGCTCCATAATGTTCCCCATCTCTACCACTTTGCCTTAGACGAGGGTCCTTGGACCTGAGGAATCCCAAACCTTCACCATCATCTGTGGAGGGCCTGACGTAGCCGTGGTCCTTGCCCAGGGCCCTGCACCTGCCACAGTGGATGCCAAGCCGGAGCTCCTGGACACTCAGATCCCCAGTGCATAAGGATCAAGACAGACAATGTCACGGGACAGAAGATAGAAGATGGAGGAGGAGAGACATTACACATGGGCTTGGCCCAGCACCACTGCCCGCGTCTGGGGAGTGGCAGTGCCTCCCTCAAGGGCCTGGGTTCCACCACCCCCTTCCTAGGGACCTCATGAACCTTCAGGGTGACCTGGGCTCAAGTCTCTCAGCCCCAGTTCTGGGTACTCGGCTTCTGCCACCCCCAGCTCAGATCTTTGCAAATCAGTACAACTTCAGAGCAAAACAAGTGTTTGGGAAAATTGTACCTAGTTCTAAGGAGCCCCGTGGCTTTGGCCAAGCCTGATACTGAGTTGAGGGTACCATGGTGAACACAGCTGAGAAAATCCCTGCCCTCATGGTGCTCATTCTACTTGAGTAGACGATCTAGTAAACAAATAAAAAGAACATTGCAGACGCGATGAGTGCTATAAAGACTGAAAAAAAATTCGGTTTGGGCCCAGAGTACAGCTCTCTAAAGCCAGGTTTTAGCAGAGACCTGGGTGATGAGAAGGGGCTGTGCTGGAGGGCTGCAGGCCTGGGTTCCAGAGGATGAACAGCCCCTGAAAAGACGGCCTCCTGTCGGGGGTGTGTCAGGTCTGGGAGACAGTGTTGCTATGGAGAAAACCACAGTAGGGAAGGGAGGAAGGGGTGCAGTTCTAGAGCAGAGAAGGTGAAAAGACACCAATAGGTAAGATCCTAAAATGGGGCAGAGAGGGAGCCATGCAGAGATCTGGGGGGAAGAGCATTCCAGGCATCCCAGAGCCCAGTGCAGGACTGGTGCGGTGGCTCACACCTGTAATCCCAACACTTTGGGAGGCTGAGGCAGGCAGATCACCTGAGGTCAGCAGTTCGAGACCAGTCTGGTAACATGGTGAAATCCTGTCTCTACAAAAAATACAAAAATTAGCCAGGCGTGGTGGCGCGTACCCTGTAATCCCAGCTACTTAGGAGGCTGAGGCAGGAGAATTATTTGAACTTGGGAGGCAAAGGTTGTGTGGTGAGCTGAGATTGCGCCATTGCGCTCCAGCATGGGCAACAGAATTAAACTCCATGTCAAAAAAAACTAAAACACCACACACACTAAGAGCCACTGCAAAGGTCCTGGGGTAGGGAGGAGCAAGGAGGCCGGTGTGGCTGGGGTGGAGTGAACAAAAGAGGGTGATTTGCAATGAAAACCATGAAATTAAAAGATAATAAAAAAGGGTGAGAGGAGGTGAGTGCAGAGATGATGGGGCAGGTTCACATAGGGCTGTGGGTTGTGGCTGAGAGCCTTGACTTCTACCTGGAGTGCAGCGCTACAGACAGATCCCTCTGAGGGAAGGAAGGCTCTAAAGCGACAGGTGTTCATGGGTCCCTGTGGCTGCATGTTGGGAGGGGACAGGACAGCAGGTAAGAGGCTGTTGCCATAATCCAGGTGGCAGAAGATGGAAGGATGGGCCACGATGAGGGCCCAGTGTAGTGGTGGGGAGAGTGAGATTCTGGAAATCTTTTGGGGATGGAGCTACTGGGCCTGTGCATTAGAAGGATGAGGTTTTCAAGGCTGTTGCCTGGCCTGGTCCAGGCTGGGATGATTTGAGGCAGAGCAGACTACAGCCAACCCCCAGGTGGGAGGTCAAGCCATGACCCTTGGCTGGTTCCAGGAGGCCTCCAGTGGGGAGATTACAGGTTCTGAGAGAATTAGAGGGGTCAATCAGCAGATCTGTTTCCCACACACTGCTACAGGCATGTAGCATGGTGATTAAGAATAAAAGCTGGGCACAGCGACTCACACCTGTAATCTTAGCACTTTGGGAGGCTGGGGCAGGAGGATCCCTTGAGGTCAGGAGTTCCAGACCAGCCTGGGCAACATGGCAAGACCCCCCATCTAAAAAAAAAAAAAATTGCCAGATGTGGGGGCATGCACCTGTGGTCCCAGCTAGTCAGGAGGCTGAGGTAGAAGGATGGCTTAAGCCCAGGAGTTTGATGCTGCACTGAGCCGAGATCACAACACTGCACTGTAGGCTGGGGGACAGAGTGAGACCTTGTCTAGAAAAAAAAGAAAGAACCAGACTCTAAGACTGTCTGGTTTCAAATGTTCACTCCATCACCTGCTCATGTACTTTTGGGCAAGCAGCTTAATCTCTGTGGGCCCAAGTGTGTGAGCCTTGCATGATGAAGGTAAGGATGAGATGATCATGATAGGAGTCTCTAGAGAATCACCCTCTGAAACACCTTTTATACGTGGTTAGCTTGGAGAAGGGGTCCGGTCTAGGGTCCTAGAGAGAAAGAACACCCATCGTCACCACGCCCCGAGACCACTGCCCTCACCGGCCTGGTTTGCAGGCTTTGGGGAAGGGGATGGAGATCTGTGCCCGCTCTTTGAACCCTCTCTTTTGCCGTTGTATCTGCTCATCTCGCATCTTTCCGTAGCCATCTCTTCCCATCCCTGTGCTCCAAGGCTCTCCCCTTCCCGTCGCCGCCTCCGCCCCTCCATCAATGCGAGCGCCTCCCTGTCCCTCCTCCTGGTCTCTCCTCCTCCGCCCCCGGTTGGGGGCAGCATGCGCATGCGCTGTCGCGCCCCTCCCTCTCCGCCCCCACCCCCCGTCGGCGTCTGGGCCTCGTCCCCTTCTCTCTGTCTCCCTCGCCTACCCCATCACGTCCCCTGACACCGACACCCCATTGCTCCTGCGGTCTCCCCAGTCTCCGCTTTGGTCCCCAGCGCTGTCCACCCGAGGTAAGATGGGGAGGGGGAGACCCGCGGAAAAGGGGAGGGGCGAAGCATCCTGCATCCCGAGATAAACAAACCCGGGGAGGGGGCGGCCGAGACTGAGGGGCCTGCCACGAGAGAAGAATGCGGGGCTGGGCCTGGGGAGGTGGCAGGCGCTGGGCGCACACACCGGGACCCTCCTTGGGTAACCGGGGTCCGGATGGTTGCCCAAGATCCACTTGCACGGAGGCCACCCGGGGCCCTGGAAGCTCGTAGGGGCTTGGACCCAGGAGCCTGCGGGGCACCCTCTCCAGCTGACCTCTGCCTACAGGGTTTGCCTGAAGGCCGCCCCCAACTCTGCACTCGCCCCCCCCGAGGGCCCCCCAAGGACCATGACTAAGACAGATCCTGCCCCGATGGCCCCGCCGCCCCGAGGAGAGGAGGAGGAAGAGGAGGAGGAGGAGGAGCCCGTCCCTGAGGCCCCCAGCCCCACCCAGGAACGCCGGCAGAAGCCTGTCGTGCACCCCTCGGCACCTGCACCCCTCCCTAAGGACTACGGTAACCACTGTCCCCACCCTGGAATCTGGCCTGGAGCCTTGGGTGGCCGGGGAGGGTGGGCTGTGCTCTGCTGGTGGTGATGGTCGGAGAATTCTGGGGAATTTGAAGGTGGTCCAGAGGAGTCTTGGCTGCAGAGCACCCTTGCCAATTCATTCATTCGCCCACTGGAGAATGGAATTGTAATACTCCTAGTCTTTGATTCATGACACATCATCCCATCATTTAGTCATTCGACAGTCATTTATTGAAAGCGGCTGTGGACCTGGCTCTCTCTATACTAGGGGTTGGGGCCACAGCAGGGGGCAAGACAGACCCAGTCTTTGCCCTGAGAAAACTCACAGGGCTCAGTAACAGCCACACAAATAGGTATTAAACCATAATGTAATTTTAGCTCATATTTAGGTTTATATGCAAGAAAAAAAAATAATGTAATATAAATATGTCATTACAAGACATGATGAAAACTGGATTTACCAAAAACAAGCTGCTGCAAAAGTTTTTAAAGACATGGTTTCCCTGAGGAGGTTACATGTAAGGGAGGCTGGAGGGTGAGTTGGGTTAACTAAGGGAAAGGTCAGGGGAAGGGGGTCCCAGGAGAGGTAACCGCTGGGTAAAGGATCCCAGGTAGGAGGGTATGAAGCTGAGAGGACAGCCTCTTGGAGAAGCTGAAAGTGTCTAATCATTGAGCAGTATTTATTGAGTGCTGATATTCTGTGATGAGTCTTATGCTGGGTGCTGGAGATTTAATCCTGGGTGATTCAGGCATGATCCCGCCTGTCAGGACAGAAGGAGAGACTAAACAAGTGAATGAATAAATCGGAAATCAAATAAATTCAGATTGGAGTGAATGCTATGAAAGAAAGAAAAGGTGGGCCAGGCCCGGTGGCTCACGCCTGGAATCCCAGTACTTTGGGAGGCCGAGGCGGGTGGATCACCTGAGGTCAGGAGTTTGAGACCAGCCGTGGCCAACATGGTGAAATCCGATCTCTACTAAATATACAAAAATTAGCTGGGCATGGTGACACACGCCTGTAATCCCAGCTACTTGGGAGTCGAGGCAGTAGAATTGCTTGAAGCTGGGAGGCAGAGGTTGCAGTCAGTGAGCCAAGATCAAGCCACTACATTCCAGCCTGGGTGACAGAGTGAGACTCTGTCTCACAAAAAAAAAAAAAAAAAAAAAAAAAAAGAGAGAGAGAAATAAAAGGAGGAGATATGAAAATGACCAGGGGGCAGCTACCTGCAGAGGTAGTCAGGGCTGGTCTTTCTGAGTAGGTGACATTTAGTCTGGGACCCAGAGCATGGGGAGAAATTAGCCATAGGAGAGCTGGAAAAAGAGTGTTCCAGGCAGACAGTAGCAAGTGCAAAGGCCCTGAGGTAGAATTGAACTCGGAAGAGAAAGACCCTGGAGCTGCATTCAGGGAATGAATAAGGTTGAGGTGAGAGGTTGGCACAGGCCAGATCTGGAAGGGCCTTCAAGGCCACGGTGAGAACTTTGGTTATGTTCTAAGTGGGATGGAGGAGAGGTGTGGCAAAGGGAGGGTTAAAGTTTAAAAGCAGAGGAGTGACAGGTTTGGTGTAGAGTTTGAAAGCTTCCTCTGGCTACTGGGTAGAAGGGAATGGAGCGCAGCCAGAGTTGGATGTAGGAGGGGAATTTGGAAGATATGTAGGCTGGGAATTCCCGGCAGCTGTGAGGTTCAGAAACCAGGTTCAGAGAGTTAGCGTTGCCAGGATAGAGCAGGAGAGATGGCATCCATAGATATATCACCCACTAGAGGTGGAGCAGAGAGACTACAAGTTGACTTCAGTCTCATAGGAAAATAAGAAAGTTGGCCAGGCACGGTGGTTCTGGCTTATAATCCTAGCATTCTGGGAGGCTGAGGTAGGAGGATCACTTGAGCCCAGTTCAAGGCTGTAGTGAGCTATGATCATATCACTACACTCTAGCAAGACCCTATCTCAAAAAAAAAAAAAAAAAAAAAAAAAAAAGTAGGAGATGGAGAAGGGTGGGTGCTGATTTAGACAGTGTGGTTTGGGGAGGCCTCTCTAAGGAGCTGACATTTGGGCAAAGATCTGTAAAGCCTTGTGAAGATGTACGGGAAGTCTATCCCGAATGGGAAAAACAGCAAGTGTCAAGAGCCTGAGACAGGAATTTGCTTGGCATGTGGGAGGGA